CCCCCCCCCCCCCCCCCTCCCAACACTTCGAAACCAAGATCCCACCCCCACAGAAGTCACGACCATCATTATTCATTAAAAAAAAAAACCACCCATGATGCCAAGCCAAAAGCCCCCTGCAGGGAAGCCCCCCGATGGCCACAAACAAAAAAAAACACGAAATGTTGAACAAAATAAATAAATAAATAACCTGATGCATTTTCTTGCAATTTTCTTCAGAAAATAGATGGCCATACTTCTGGAAAAATTGCAAGAACTGGAAGAGTTCGACAGTTTTAGGAAAATTGGAAGGGAAATGTAAAAAATGGAGGGAAGAGAGGAATTTTTGTTTTGAGTGGGTTCGTAACAATCCTCCGGATTGTGATCGAGTTTGGGGTCAAATGAGTCGAATGAGAACCTCATTTTGTTTGTAATTATTAGAATCAAACTCTGTACAAGTTATTCACAAATTATTCCCAAAAGACCTAATTGATAGTCTGATATAGTTTTAGGTCCTCCTTTGTAAGAAGAATAGTTTGTTTAGTTCGTTTTTCATTTTCTCTCCTTTCTTTCCTCTATAAATACCTCCATTGTTGTACTTTGATTAAGTGAGTAATAAATAAAATTGTTGATTTCATTCACTTAAACATGGTATCGGAGCAGTAGGTTCTGGAATTCCAGATCTGCAAGCTGCAAATCAATTAAAGAAGGAGGAGGAGGATAAGCTTAGAATTTGAGTTGCCATGGCCGGAAATCGAAATGTAGATCTGCTTCCTGCAGAACTAAGGAATGACCAGACAAATCAAGGAAATGGAAGACATATCGAAATGAATAATTCAGATACGTTGTTCCTCCATAGCTCAGATCATCCGGGAATGACACTAGTTACACCGCCTTTAACTGGTAAGAATTTTTTGGCGTGGAGCAGATCTGTGAAAATCGCCCTTGGAGCTAAGATGAAGTTAGGGCTTATTGATGGTAGTATTGAAATACCTGAGAAGACTTCACTGAATTATAAAAAATGGCTGAAAGTTAACTACATGATTACTTCGTGACTACTGAACTCTATCTCCGAAGAAATTGTTGAAGCATTTCTGTACACCAGCACTGCTAGAGAATTATGGATGGAGATTGAAGAGAGATTTGGAACTTATAATGTTCATATACTATATCAGATCCAGCGAGAAATCAGTTCTATCTCACAAGGTAATATGTATATTTCGGAATATTACACAAAATTAAAGAGACGGTGGGATAAATTAACCTTTTTAATGCCTATACCTGAGTGCATTTGTGTTCAGCTAAGTTAGTATCAGAAATAACTTCGTTCAATAGACTTATGCAACTTCTCATGGGATTGAATGATGAATATGAACATACTCGAAGCCAGATCTTAGCTATGGATCCTTTGCCACTAGTCAATAAGGCCTATTTCATGATCCAAAGAGTGGAAAAACATATAGAGATTCAGATATCTTATGGAGAACATAATGAAGTAAGTGTTATGAACGTAAAAGCTCAGGGGTATAAAAAGGTTGGAGGAGGCAAAGGATATAGTAGAAAATATGATATGAGCAAAGCAGAAAAGAGGAACCAATTTTGCACACATTGAATACCACAGGACCTAGCAGAGAGTTTTGTTATAAGTTGATTGGA